CTGTTGCCTCAGCGATGGTCCCTGCAGCACTGGGTCGTTTGCTGCCAAGACGCGCCACCTCTGGACACTGCCACAGGAGGCAGCGGCGCCCATGCCCGGCGGCACTGCAGGTGCCGCGCGGGTGTGGTGAGCGGGGGGAGAGGATCGGAGGGGTGAGGCGCGGCGGCGACGACGACGGTGGGCCACATTGGCCGCGGTGTGGCCAGGGTCTCTCGAACGTGGGGCGCCGAAGAGCAGGTGGGGCGCCGCTAGGGGCACGGCCGCCTTGGGGAGCCGGGCGCCGAGGAGAGAGGGCAGAGGAGCGGCACCGGGGGAAGGGGACATCTGAACGGCGTAGCGGAACCTGGGTCGACTGCGCGAGTTTCGAAGAAGAACAACTGCGTAGATATAAACTTTCAGCGCTCCGCGCGGATTTCTTGGATCGGCGCTTGGGCCTCTCCTGGGGCGCCTCCTGCGCCGATGCAAGAGATTCGCGCGGACGGGCGAAAGCTTATGCTGATGCCGATTTTCCCTCCTCCAGCATGTTTGGCTTGTGGGCTCCCCGCGCAAGGTCGCGCGCGAGCGCCCTTGTCCAGGTTGTCCCCGTGGTGTGCCGCGTGAGCGGCCTGCGTGAGCCAGCGCGCAGGGCCGACGCGTTCTCTCGGGGAAGCCGTCTTGCCGTCGATCCGAGGGCCCCTCCCGAGGTGGCCCCCGAGGGGGAGGTCCCGAGGTGCCGTGGTGCCCTCTGGGCACTGCAGTGCAGTCGGGGCCCTGAAGAAGGAACCCTTTCGTTGGGGAGGGGCTCGGTGTTCCTTGATTGTTCTGCAGTTTGCCTCCGGTTTCCCTGAGGCCTTCCATGGGACAGCGAAGCTCACCTTGTGGGAAAAAGGGACCTCGTTCCTCATTTAGAGTTCCTCAGGTCAACGCCCCGACGGTACGGGTGATGGCCACGTCACTTCTTTTCTCGTTTTTACTTCTTTGTCCAGCGCGCCCTGCTTTGCTCAACGCCCAACACGTCACCCTTGGCGGGAGAAGAGGGGGCCCTTGGAGGCAGGGTGGAGGCGAGTTCGAAGGAGGAAGCTACAGTCAAATACAGTGGTAAGGATGCAGTGCTTCATCAAGGCTACCCTTGCATCCCTGCCCATCCTTAGTCGAGCTTGTACGTCAGACCCCAGGAGTGCCAGGGTCGGAGGGTTTGAAGGGTCTTGGGCCCCTTCCTTGCTCAGGTGGCAGACTGCAGCCGCACACCCCTGGCCTTGCCCGCGACCAGGGGCACCCAGACCACGCAGGCCACTTCTAACTGCTTGGGCCTAGTGGGGCCGCGGACCCCCAAAAGAGTTCTCAACAGGGTGATGCGCAGTGGTGACCCAATCAGTGGGTGATGCGCGGCGCGAATCTCAACCATGCGGGATGCGGCGGCCCGCGCGGAACACGTGGCGCAGAGGACGAGAGCGGCGAACGAACGCACGACGACGAGCAGACGCTTCGTTTCTGACAGACGGAGGCTGGGCATCGCGCACCGGGACCTGTCCCTCGAGAACATCCTGCTGACGAAGCAGGGAGACCAGGGGCTCCCTCGAGGGCGCGAAGTTATTCGCGCTTCGCGCTTCGCGGTCCTCGTTCCTTCTCCCCCTCCTCCTCGTCCTCCTAATCTCCCTTTGGGAGGGCGGCGCGAGAGCGCGAAGTTATTCGCGCTTCGCGCTCCGCGCAGCGCGAAGCGCGAAGCAGGGAGACCAGGGGCAACGTTAGGGGGGAGAGGTTCGGGGGGCGACGCGTCGACCCCCCGTCGCCCACGAATCGCCGATGTGGGGCACGGCAGCACACCCCGCCCAGGAACAGTGCGGAGGCGCCATCATCAGGAGGAAGAGAAACACACAGACACAATCAACCCTCGATTCCCCAGGAAATATAGGAAAATATGGGAAGTGGGGGGGGAGATAAGAGCCCAGAAAATAGGAGAAGATGGGGAATCTTTTTATTCGTGTGTATTTATTTGTGTGTCCTGGGGCCCCTTCACATCAGGGGCACAGTGCCAATCTAATGACGACGTGTCGCCGATTCCAGCTTGATGTTTTCTTCCCCCCTGAGCTGGTCCCCTCCTACAGTCAAAGCGCACAGAAAGGATGAACAACTTTCCAAGTTTACCCTTGCTTCCTTGCCCCTCCGGCCCATCCTTGGCGACTTTCGCTGGCCAGCCCCGTTCGAAAAACGTCAACATGGCCTTCCAAGGCCTTTGCGCCCTTGCCGCGCATGCTGATTATGCGTTTTGATTGTATCGTCCCCCTCAGGAGAGGACCACGTGGTCAAGATCATCGACTTCGGGGCAGCGACCGCCTTGCGGCACTGCGGGGAGGGCGAGTGTCGGGGCAAGCGGAACTACCAGGCCCCCGAGATGCACACGGGCGGCTACGACGCGTTCGCGGCTGACAGCTTCGCGCTCGGCGTGGTGCTCTTCGCCACCATGGCGCACGACTTCCCGTGGACGTCGACGAAGGCCGGCGCCTGCAAGCACTACAGCTAC